ATTTTGCCATCATTCACGCTTGCCCCACCACTACGCCCTGCACTACTTACAGTGCTGTACAAAATTGAAGTAGTCCTGGAGAGGGAACATAGTCTAGTTGGCGCTAAGCTTTTGAACTTTCCTTCCCCGCGCTTTTCTTTCCACCACCTCGTGGGTGGCTCTTCTTCACCTTGTTAACAACCTATTGCTCACCTTTGACCATTCTAGTCGCTAGGCGATTGTAGAATGGAAATCTACAAACCTCAATCATTCACCCCCCGCAGTGGACGAGATTCCGCAGTGCTCAGTGCCCCTTGTTCCCTCTCTTAGGTCTCACCCATCTTAGACCGATCCCTTGACGTAAATTTTCAGGTATTAGGGGATGAATTCTGAAAGGCACACACAGGCCCATATCCCAGTGCACAAATGCGGATAGCTCTTTACATATGCATTTACAATTGTAAATGAATTGGAACATGAAATGAAATACCCCTGACCAGAGTTCAATATATCTCGAATTTGTTTTTTTTTCTCTTAGTTGCACTTAACGAAATACATACATTTATGGGTCACCATTACGAGCAGTATAGCCTAATTTTTCAATGTGATCGAGTCGGAAATTCTGTACGTAAAGCTCAAAAGATGTGAAGGCCATATATGCCTCATTCGAGCGTGGTAATCGTATCAATAGCCGCCCGAGCATCACGCCACTATTGTCAAAATCACGCTCGGATGAATTAGCAGATGGCATAAGTTCCAGACAACACATTGTAAAAGGACGCCACAGTAGTCCTCAAGACATCCAACTGGAAAACAGTTCATCTTCCTGAGGAGTGGAAACTGGAGCGGCTCTACATTAGGTCTTTCAGAAAGATCTGAATTTCAAATGCATGCATCTCGGCTTGAACCAACTTTTTAAGCTGAAATGAAAACTGTTTGAATGCGCTGACCTCTCGCCATAAAGAACTTTCAGTGGGTGCGTTTGCATCAAATGCTAGAGCTGTGCAGGCGATGAAATGGAAAGGTCGTTTTAGAATCAAATCCGTAGAAAAGCGAATAGCCTTTGTGACATCAAGTAAGCTAGAAACTGATGGACAACTGCTCAATTTGCTGGTTCGTCGCGGCATGTCCCTATAAAATTTTTTGTAGTTTCCAGCTACTTCTATGACTTGGCTCTACAACCCATATAAGTCCAGGTGGGGCAGAACCTCCTCAGTGCTCCCACGCACGAGCCTCAATCAGATCTTCTGGCTCGTCGGTGTCAACTTGCGATGTCCGAGAACCACTTTCATCATCCCAAGGTTCTAGCTTTCGTTATAATAACTTTTTAAACTACTGATTCAGAACATGTTTACTGCGAACCTAGGCCAAGTGTAACATTAGTGTCCTGATCTGATCCCGCTACTTTCAGGTCTATTCAAAGCAAGAGAAAGAGAATAATCTCAACTCGCTCATTGAGTATACCCATTCTTAACTTTTGAAAAGTTGTAAGAATATATTTTAGAACAACGCTTAGCTAAACAATGAATAAGGGAGGGAAAAGTCTCCAATATGGTACCCATAACGATGGCAGTTACTCTGGATTAGTACAATGAAGCATCCAAATGTGGAGTGTCAAAAACGACAGAACTCTCTAAAACACCTAATACTTTGCTGTCTCATATAAATTTTACTTGACGCGAGCTAAGTCCTCCTTACAGACGGGTGTCTTTGGGGTCTACTGTGATCAAGTCCTATTTGAGTGAAAGCAATGGGTGAGATGCTTGGGGAATGATTCCAGCAGATGGTTCTGACCTAAGGGTACGATGGTGTTAGAATTGGAAGAAAGGCTCTCTCTATTCTTCCCAACCTCGTCGAGAAACAGAAATGAAGCATTTTTTATCAAAACAGTCAGACGCACACCTCCTGCCTTTCGATCTATAATACATCGAAGTGGTAGAGAACCTTTTCAGGAAGAAACCATGTGAAGATCGATCATGCCAATATTTAAATATATGGGCTTCATTTTGGAGGGATTTAGTTCTTTATCAGTCGCTCTAAAGGAAAAATTACGAAATTCTCAAATAATCAGCCATTACATCGGCTTTCAGAATAATGGATACGTGAAACGACAAAAAATCTGATAGTATTGCGTTCACATCTTGTCAGTTTTTTCTCTAGCTTAGCATTTATTGAGCCCTTTTGTGATGTACAGTGCAATGTGACACGGCAATCTCAAATCGCCAGTTCACTTTTAAAAAGAATTCTTACAGACATACCAACAGCAGTTCTTTGGCTATGGCATCGAGATCCATGCGACATATTTCTGAACCGAACGTTCTATATCTTTTCCAACATTATTGCGCTGTACTCTTTGATGAATATGCTTAACTTGCAACTACTGATGAGCATTGAACGGACAGTAGCCACAATATACGTCAGTTCCTACGAGTCGTGGAGGAAGACGTCAGGAATTGTCTACTTTGTTCCCGCGGTGTGGAGTTTGTTGGAACTTTGTTGGATAACTTAGTGAAAAATTCGGCTAGTAGTCGCTAGTGTTTCCCGTCTTTGATCGGAATTTCGCAACAGCTGTTGCGGCAACGATTGGACTTACGCTAATGGGGTGAAACTCAAGGAAGTGTCATCAATTTTCTATGCCGTTCTCGTTGCCAGTAGAACATTTGCTCCTATATGTTCTTTGAGATGCAAACGGGCGTAAACGGTTAGTGGTAGCTAGTGATATCAAGCCATTGGAATGGATAAAGGCGTCACAGTGTATGATAATTGAAGCCGGAAAGTAATTTTTGCCAACTTGATTATTCGTTCTTTGCATTCACACTAGAACGAATCGAAATGGGGATAACGATAGTGTGTAGTGGGAATTGCTCCAAATTATATTGATAAGAAGTTATAGTTGCAGAGGAACACAAATTTTGCTGCGCTATTCCCTCGTTGTAGTAAATGTTCTATGTTGACTACTGACAAAGAACTTGAGAAAGAAGCGCGCTAGTGGGAAATGGATGGCAAGATTTAGAGATGTTATTTCACAGTATGTCTGACGGAAATATCAGCAGCAGGCTGAAAAGATGCGCCCCTCATTGGACAAAAAACGCAAAAAAAAATCCAAAAAACGAAAAATTAATATGGTTTGGCTCGCAACCCAGACAGAGCTCACGTTAACTCAAGCTCGAGCTCGCAGGGATTTCATGCAAGGAAGTCAACCGACAAGGGCGCTAGAGCGCCAGAGCCTTCCTGATTAAGCTGCTGCTGCTACAGTTTTTTTCTTTTATCATACGCCATCTCTGGGGTCTGGCGCCCTGGCTCTCTCTCGCCTCATGCTCTCCTCTCCGTCCTCATTCTCTCACTGCCTTAGCACACCCTATTACGAATGTGAGTGAACCATTAGCTTGAGCGCCGTGGGAGGAATCTTTTTATTTACTTTTTCTTCATCGCTGGCCCAACTTTTCGCACCAACTCATTCATATTCGTGCGCAAGGAAAACACTACTTGATGTGGTGCATGCCTTGATGTAGTGGAGAAAGTCAAACATGTTGCATTTGTTTTTGAATATGTGACATAGATATTTGATGGATCGATACACCGCTAGAGCGTCTCAATTCCCAAAAACTGTAGATATTTGCAAGATATGGCGTGTAGTAAGGGAAGCTTTGGAAGGATTCTGGATAATCACCAGAACCTCATAATGAAGATTAGAGTCTCCCTCAGAATTTCCTCCTGTTGTGATATTGCGATTTCCACAATGACAGAGCGTCACGTTGTGATCCCAACGATTTTTTTGGGAGGTATTTGATGTTTTCCACAGCTAACAAAGCTTTTGTATGGGTGTGGACAAAATCGTACGAGCGGTGCATTCTTGGTTAATGCGTTCTCCTGGCGGGATAGAGCGCAAACCTAAAACTTTGAAACTAGCATGTTCAAGCCTCTCAACACGATAATTGGTCGAGGTTGTGACACTTGAAGAAGAGTTCCTCTTAACAACCTCGTTAGCACAGAACAACTAAAACATTTGCTTAAAGTATAATTATTTAAAAAAGCAGCATTGTTGACGACAGGCCCGGGATAAAACCTGCGTGTGGCGGCGTGGGCGCTATATACAGATGCTGTGGAATAAACTGAAGCAACGGATTTCGCTGGTTGCAGGCCCCTAAGGTCTGGCGCCCTAGTAGCGCAACGGAGTTAACTTAATGTATGTAGGTACGCACCTTATAATCTCCCTCGTGGTATCCCTCCTATCAGTCGGGGTGATCCTGAGGCTTGCCTTCAAGCATTTAGAGTTGTTCCTAGCGTGCTCCGCCCAGACCTGATAAACAAATAAGTGTTCATATTTGCGTGGGTTCACAAAGGTAAACCTACATATCGCAAATGTAGGACATAGCTCTGGCTGAAGAAAATTGAGTATTCTATTCTATTCATAGTATTCGAGAAATGTATCCACTAGGAAGGGAGACAGACTCCCAGGGGTGCATGGCGATATATGTTTTGCAGTGGGGGATACGCCCGGTGGAGCAAAGGGAGGGCGGCTCGGGCTCAACATTTACCGATTGGCTATCCATTGCCGTCGGACTGCAGCTGCAGTCTTAGCTTTCGTAGCGGAGAGGCCGAGCAGTGCGTTCACGTTGATGAGGTCAGCACTAATAAGGATCGCAGTAAGGCGGAAATCAGCGAGTAACAAACGGTCTCATCTACTTGGTTTTTCCGTTGTTGGGTATCAAATTAATGGAAATCCCGCGTCCAAAGCTTTTGACACAGTAGCCCTCGCACGCTTGTCGAATTAATGCACAAAAACTGTTGCATCGTGCCCTGCTTTGACGCTTTACCTTCATACCCTCGACCTATGACCACGTGATGAAGGTCGTGGAGACATTGGCGTTTTAAATTTCGTGACGCCGAAGGTCGGGAGGAATTGGACTTCCTGATTTGCCTTGAGCCTTTCTCCGTAAGAAAAGGAATGATTTCAGTGCGTCATTCCTGGCTTGATGGTTTTGTACGTCTATAAGGGAGTTTCATTCAATGAAGCGTATATGGACACCATGTCTATCCAGTCTACAACTGCAGATAGGATAGCGGTTATTTCTATAATATCCATATCTGTGAGTATCATCAGCATGGTAATGCAGCGCATCCTAGCAATGGTGAATAAAAGGAGAATTTTGAGGTCGGTTCTAATGGATCACTCTTGTGTCAGCGAAACATCTTCCTAGACTCTTTCTATCGTGCCGGGATTCGGAAGAGCTTCTGCGCTAGACGGGTCCTGAACGGAATTGTAGTCTTAGGAAGAACGCTTCTGGAGCAACAAAAACAAGCGTAAATATCATGGCTTCTATGGCACTGACATCGGGAGTCAGTTCAGTGTTGATTCTTGTAGAATAGAATAAAACTTGCTCCTTATTCCATTCAGCCCAGATATTATTTCAGGGGATGAGTTATTCATTCGTTCTATCAAACTTGAACAGTACTTATAAGAATTATGTAGAATTAAAGTAACTGAAGACAGCTCTAAAACTAAGCAATAACAAAAAAGAGGTTGCAGATTGACAACAGGACCGCTGACGACTCGATACCAATTGTCAGAGAATATCTCAGGGAGCAACCTTGCATCAAGCCTTCTAGTATTCCAGGTAAAATTACATGTGTTTCCACATTCGCCTCACATACTTAAAGAGCTGTCTCTGAAAGCTGTCCTCAAAAGCTTGGATGGTTCCCGAACTATTGCAACCCACATCTTGTAGTTTTACAACATGGCTTTACCCACTTCTCATCCACTCACAGCTTATTTCTGCGATAGCGATACATCATAAGATTTACATCGGGGTTGCAGGTGCTAACTTCAGTCGTACAGTCATCGTTGACCTTGATACTTCCCGAGCTCATCTCAAGATTCTCCGACAACGGAGTTAATACTGAAATAATCGTCGCAGAAGCTTCGTATGTGAGTTGTGCTTTGCAGGATCATTTCCAAGTGAAGCAAAGCAAATCATCCATTGCAGTGTCTTCCCCTTGCATTGGCTATTCTGCCATTCCTTATCCTACACTTGCTAAAGAAGAGGCAGAGGATCCGTGCTGCTACAATTCAACAATCGGTTTGCCAGTCGAAAGCAGATGGCGCTACAGCACTTTACGCATCCATGCTCGAGCAGCAGTGGCAATAGTGTTCGTCTACATTCAAATTGTAGTGTTTTATTAGGCTGATAATAAGTTTTGAGAAGTTCTTCATGCTTTTCTCCTTTTCTATTTTTTATTGTGCCAGCGCAATAATCATAGTATAGTTGCCTTCGTTGGTCACCACACTGGTCCACGAGTTGAGCAGCATGGTTCTTTTCTCCTGAAACTGGCTAGGCTGGTAGTCGCCAAACACGTTGAAAGTTTTCCCAGAGAATCTTCAGGTTGCGAAACACACAAAGGTCGAAGTGGCCTTGTCGAAATAATATGTCATGCGGTATAGTGTCCCATCCCGATCCTTAGTTTTTTAGTGGGTGTTGTAAGTTACAGGAAGTCTAGCTTATCATGAAAGAGGTGCAGTGAAGCTCGCCGGACGCGTTTCTAAAATTTTTATACGTGAATGGAGTTGACACTCAGTGTCTGGCCTTGCGAAAGCAGATATTCTACAGAAACGCAGGAGAGGAAGCAGGTCGAAGTACAGCCTCTTTTGAGATTCCCACCAAAAAGAGAAAATAAAAGTCAAACCATACCACCTCGGCTGCTTAGTCGCGTTTGATCCAGTCTTGATTGGAAACTTATCAAAGATACTGCTGCGAAAAGGAGGTTGAGAAGAAAAGAAGTGAGCGATCATGGGCAACAACGAAATTGTCAAAATCATAAAGATGACATGACGTGCACGCACAACATGCATGATCCATTTGGAACGGACACAGATTTCCTGAAACCTATTTAACAGTAAAGGTGCAATGCTTGGAAAACTAGAAAAAATAACAAATATAATACAAAAATAAAGAAATGGGATAGCAAAAGGTGATCATTCCACAACAAAAACTGTTTAGTTCACTTGGTCCGCACTCGCACGCTATAATGTACAGGCTTCCTCCGTTGGCAAATCAAGATTGACTCATTCTTTGAAGCCCATCCCTGTCATTGCTTCGCAAGAACAGTTCAGAACGTACGCTTAGTAGGTACAGCGCTATCCCCGTAGCATTTAAAGTTTTTAATGGACCTTGCGTTTCTGGGTATCTCATTTTTGAACGCCTTGAACTGCCCTTCGGATTATCTCAAGGAAACTCTGTGACATCAAATGATGGCCACAAATTACGCTAATAGGATAAAACGGGCATGAAACATCTACAAAATCAAAAATGAACAAAGAGATAAAAGAAATACATTTTTCAAAGCTACTTCTCACAGTGACCACCGTCTACATTGCAACAGAAATGAAACCACTAAGGGAATCCACTAAACGTGGCAGCTGTGAGCTCTTCCGGAGCTTTCGGGAGCAATTTCTCCATCTAATTGAAGTTGCAAGATGACGCTTCGTACAGTTCCCTGTCTTCAGCGTCTCCAGACATACGCCAGACATATGGATCGTTGAGTTCAATTGGAGAAAATCAAATGACCCCTACTCAAACTATTCAAAGGCGATTCTGCTCGCAAAAACGCCGCCAATCCTCCGGTGTATTCCCGCACTTTTTAAAATGTCCAGCTGTGTCCTGCGAAGTGCTCTTCGGTCTGTTACATCAAATGAGTAAAGATAATTCTTCATGCTAATTTTCACAAAGATCAATGTGTCTAAAGTTTGCTCATGATTACCGTAGATTCTTCAGGTCTGCTCAACAGAAAATGGTTCAATTGCTAACATCACTCCAGTGACCAAAATAATCAAATGGCACCTGTTATAGGATCGAAATAGCGTTACTTGCACCTCTGTTTTTTTTGCTATTTTGTCGGCACCAGCAACAATTTCGGACTTCTTAAAGGCAAGATTCGGGATAAAATAGGTGTGGAAAAGTGTTCAGTTATGAAGCTGTAGGTGAGAGGTGGTCCGTAAAAGAGAAAAAGCAAACGCAATCACAGATCACGCCCCTTACGGAGACCTCCCCTCTTTTAGCCTCATTCCACCTTGGGATAGAGAAGAGGCGAATTGGACGAGTTTCACGAAGCTTACTCTACCGAAACCAATGCCTCAAATCCGCCCGCACCTTTCAAGCATCGCCACGTGGCAACCGACAAGGAAGGGTGGGGCTTGCGGACGAAGGTGTGAGTTGCGGGTTGGACGAGCTCCTTGCGTGTTTGTCGCGAACTTCTAAGCCGCAAAAGGGGCCCGACATCAAAAGTTGTCCACCAGCCTACTACTTCCTGGATGGAACAGGCGAGCCGGCCTGATTGGGGAGCGTGCCTTTAAACATGCAGGCCTTGGGCCTGAATATATTATATATACATATTAATATAAATATAATAAAATATTAATATGAAATATATTATATTATAACTATATATACAGGGGGGCCAAAAAACAGAGCATTTTGCTATGTCGGACTTCGGCTCTTTTTCTTCGCAGAGATTGCTGTTCGGTCACGGAGTTCCTCAGCAGAGTATTCCCTAAGTGTCCTCTATAAGTGAACACAGGCCTCCGTTCACTGCCCTCCCGTCTTCAGACATATACGTCATCTGTTACCGTCGTCAGGCTCAAGGGTTTCTCCCGTAGAGCTTCAGCCTAAACGCTCTTACGCATTTCGTCTGAGTGAATCGATTTATGTTGGATGAGTCTTCTAGAGGCATCAGCTACACTGTGTAAATTCCGCGAACTAGCTTTCCAGTAAGGGTCGTTATGGTTCACGATCTTCGAAGACCCCATTAAGCTCGACATGTCACGATGCTTCCAGGGCAAAATTTCTTCTGATGCCGTCCACGTAGGTGCCCCATGAAGATTTTCTTGTATATGGAATGCGCTCTTTAATTAATAAGTTGAAACATTCGGTCTGAATTGAGCAAAATGGTCTTAATCCATCTGAGAAGTGGAGACAAAATGTCTTTTTTTTTTTATTGCCCCCCCCTGATTATATATTTATATCATTCGATATCGGTCATCGGTCGCGAGTGGCCGGCGAAATTCTTTCAATATTGTCTTTCCTTCTTAAAACATTTTTTGTTTTTCTCTGACAAAATCCCTTGCATTCTCTTCTGTGCAATCCCCTTCTGTTTGAGTGGGTCTAGTGCTAATTGCCTAGATTTCTCGTCCGGTTTTACATAGCCCCGTCGCCGATCTTCCGTTGGGGATTGATTTGCTGGCCGCACATTGACCTATTCCGAAAGTTCGTACTTTCCGTCCAGGCATGGCTCGTGGAGCGAAGAGGAATCAATCCAGCGATGGTGACGAGCAGGAGCTACCTCTCTGGGCTCTGAAATTGATGGAGAAATACGACTCCTGTTGCGGACAGACTGGAAAAGCCCTTCTAACTTCATTCGCTAAGTCTTTGACAAAGATCGAGGGAGATCAGTTTACGCAGGAGAATATTCTAAGAGCGCCTTTCGGAGCTGGAAAACAGCGTTTTGACCTCTCAAAAAGGATGTCAATCAGAATGCTCTGTACTCTACGATTGTCGGGTAAAAGCTGACGAAAGAAAATTGATGATAGTTAAGAAGGATAGCGTGGATTGGTCTGAATGAACAGAAGGACGATGTTGCTACAAGAAGATTTGACAAGAGGCACTAAAGGAAGTGATAGAGACGTCCGGTGATAAGAATTGATGGATGAGTTCGAGAAAGGCAACATCACGGCCACGCCTCACCGGCAGGGCAGCCGAAGGAATTAGCGATCGGAATCAACCTGCCCTCTCAGGATCTGAAGGACAGACTTCTACGGCATATGCGGTCAGGGCGACAGAGCTTGACAAAGCAGTTTGTCCACTCTTACGCACGACGTGATTACACTGCTGAAGAGCTGGAGCTAGATCGCTCTCTGAGGAAACAAGCGGGTCAGTGGAATGCGAGCGTAGGCAAGCTACAGTATGTCGTGCGAGACCTTCAGATCCATAAGTTGAGGAACCCCAGGGAGCTTCCTCATCGAACCCCTTCTGACCATCAGGCATCTGTGGAACGTGCGCTCTTACCATCGTCGCAGGAAATAGAGGCTTCTCGTGCAATCGACCCATCATCTAGCGCCAGTTGTTTTTGATAGATTCATTTTATTCAATGCCAGATCCATAAATAATAAGCTACCCGAACTGCATCACCTGCTCTCTTGCAACCCTTTTGGCTTGTTTGTCACTGAGTCCTGGTGCAAACCCCAAAAAATTAACGATGAAACCCTTGTTGCCGGTCACCCCTACATAGTTTATAGATGCGATAGGGAGGGAGATACTCCTGGTGGCGGTGTACTGATCATCATTAGAAACACTATTCCTACCTTTCTTGTAACTTCACGCAATTTTTCTGCTTATTTTCAGTGCATTTCCATGCAGATCACCTTATCTGGCTCTGAAACTGTCATTGTTCTCTGTTACCGTAGTCAATCCTGCTCTGTTGATGCTTTTGAAAATTTTCTTTCTTATCTCGAAGAACTAAGTGAAAATCGCTCACCCCTAATTATCCTCGGTGATTTTAACTTTTGTGGAATAGAGTGGTCTCAGCAGTCCCAAACAATAGCAAAAATGACTTCAAAGAACCAGGGATTTCTGTTCGCTGATTTTGCAAGAGCTAACGGCTTCACACAACTAGTGTCGGAACCTACACATGGTCCCAATTTTTTAGATATTATCCTGTCCAATACACCTGAGCTCATTTCTGGCGTCCTAGTTGGAGCACCTTTCTCTACTTCTGATCATGCAACAGTTACCTTCTCACTGTCTCTTGCTAAACCGAATTCCCCTCCAAGGTTCCTTATCAATTTCGCCAAAGGAGACTATGACGCTATTTGCGATTATCTCCTTCGAGTGAACTGGCAACAGCTCTTCGACAGCTGTGCGACCATAGATGACTGCTACTTAGCTCTGATGAGCTGCTGTCACTTTTTGATTTCTCGTTTTGTTCCTTTCTGCTACAAAAGCGACAGAACGCAGCGCCTACCAAGACGCCTGTCAAGATTGAAGACACTAGTTGAAAAACTCTACAAAAGTGAAAACTACTTTCACAAGCAAAAGTACAATGAGCTCTCGTTGGTACTAAAAAGAAAACTTGCAAAACTTAGTTTGGAACGTGAAGA